GCATMTTTTATCAAAAGCTTGTAGGAGATTCAGAAATTTGCATCAGAAAAAACATTTGTTTTTTTAGAAATTATCTAAGAAGCAGAGAAAGCAAAAAAATTCCCACTTTTAAAACCTTTTTTAAAAAAATGTCTCCAGATTATTTTGTTTTTGACACTTTGTCTTGCCTAAAGGGAAGTAGTTTAAGACAAACCTAAAATGAAAAATGTCAAAACAGCTAAAATGAAACATTAAATAAAAGGGAATTTGACTTACAGGTTATATATACAACCCCTCTGAAAAATACTGCTTTGAAGGTGGGTATCTGCTCTTTCTCAGAATACCCTGATGTACATAAAGCAGTGGGGAAACTTTCTGGTACTTTTTTGGAAGATACCTACTGAGATAGGGAATGTTCTTAGAAGAACTCCTGTGAAAACTGTTTTGGAGCTATTTCTGTGTATTGTTTTGCATCAGAAATCTGAACTCTTGAGATTTAGAATATAGCCCTTTATGTGACTTCTCTTACTTACGAGATGCAGCTCCCTATGAAGGGGGAAAATGGGCCCTATCCAGCTGAGTCTATAACACCTGTTTTCGTGCATAGGCACTGTTGATAGTTATGGAGATGCAATTCCCAGTAGGTTCATATTTTAATAACTAAGCCTATTTTAACTGAAGTAAACTGAAAAGAAAATGTGTGGTATAGATTTTCAAGCTGAATACTATTTTTATTCTTTGACTGAATCACTTAAAATTGCAATAGTGGAAGATAAACTCAATTYTCTGTCGCAGGAGAAAATGATCCTTCATTCTGATTAGAGACTGTTGCTTCTAATCAACATYTTGTTCATGTGAGAAGTGGGGAAAAAATATAAAATATTAGAAAAAAAAAGCATTAAAATGCAATATATGCTCAGTAGTGGTTTCCTTTTCACTCAAGTTTTTTTGTTGAAGAGTGATTCAGGACTAGTAAAGCAAAACACCTGAAGATTAAAAAGTTTAACTTCATAAATAAATCCTAGTATAAGGATTATATATGAAGCTCTTTTCCCAGAATGTAAATTCTTGTTGCAAAAGATATACTAGAGACTGGTTTCTTTATATGCTCAGTGAAAAAAAAAACATTATCCTTGAAGATAAATACCTTCTTCAGGGGGACTAAAGATTGTGGGGTTTACCTTAACATATTCCAGGGCCATGTAATTTTTCATGTTTTGGAAGAAAAGCGTCCTAGTAAAGGAACACCAGGCATAAATCCTGAGAACCTTTCATCTGGATCCTTTATTTATTCATTAAATGTGCAGTAAAGTGCAGTAGTGTGCAGGGGTAGCCACATAAGGGTTCTTCATAGATACATGACTTCAGCAGGACCGACTTTACAGCCATAATGTGTATGTTTTGGCTTCTCATTGACTTTGCAGAAGGGAGTGTTTGTTTTAGCCTAGAGTGTTTGTAACCAGGAGTATCTGTCACACAAATAACAGCTGGTGTCTGAATACCAGGAAGTGCCCATTTTGTCAAAGGCATGGCAATTTAAACAAGCCAGAATGGCACGTGTCTGTGTCAGAACATGTGTTTGTAAGGTGGACATGCAGGTGACATCTGCCTTTTGTTCCTGATGATCCATGCACATTTATCACCTGCATATGTTGCAYTGGTGCTTCAGTGGAGGCTGCCATCAATAATCCAGATCCTTCATCAGTGCTGACCTTGTTTCAGTCTAGGACCACAGAAACAGCTTGACTGGCTCTGCAAATGGTCACAAACTTCCCAGGAAATATGTCGTGCAAGGCAGTGAAGCTGCTGAGTTTTCAGTGTTTTTCATTCTTTTAACTGCTGAGGCAGCTTGGTAAAGAAGAAAGGCAGTAAGTTAGGAGCTGATGGATGAGGAAGCAAATAAATTAGTCCAGATAGGAGTATATAAGCAGAAGTAAACTGGGACAGAGGCACTAGAAAGAAGGATAAATTAGAAAGAGAGGAGGAAAAAACAGCAATAAATATGAGTAGAAAGGAGTAGAGTGAGGTGAGGGGTGGAAAAACGAAAGGCTGGCTGTGCTGAGCTTTTTCCCCCTTCCTTTCCCTCTTTGAGACCCTGAAAATCTATTGGGAATTTTGCTACCCCAGACATATTGGTATTCCGTGCTTGTCTGGTTCAGTGTGATGGTAAATTTTGCTATTCTATTTATTTATTTATTTATTTATTTATTTAAACCAGTACATATCAAATATTTGTTGAGTCAAGTACCGCCTGCCCCAGCTAGGAGATAATATATTAAGAGTGCCTGGTAAACATTGGCAAGTGTGTTGTGATAGAGGTGCTGCAGTTTCACAGGGGAGCCTTTCCACTTATGATGCACATAGTAGGATACTCCAGAGAGAACAGGACAATATGGCATATCTTGGAGTTCTTGCCTGTAAAGCTCCCAAGTGCTTTACTGAAAAAAAATGAATTGTGTCTAGGGAAAATGGCTACGGGATAGCAATGTTTTATTCCCAAGTTCGGGCAATAGAAAGCCCATGGGAAGCAGATGTGGTTTGCTGCTGTGCCTCTTCCTGACTCTTCACAGCAGCTTTGTGTCGGGTTGAAAAATACAAAGCTTGACTTTCAGAAGMATTGACTGTGCAGTTGCAACTGAAGTAAATGGGAGCTTATTGTTTTGAACATCATGCTTGGAATTTTTGTGGTCCTTAATAGAGAAATGTAAAAACAAGTTCATATGTTTCAAGTAGGCTTCCTAAAATTAATGTCTAACAGGGACAATTTTTGGGCAAATATTTATTTTTCCCCAATTCAAGCTTTTAGCTAATCTCATCACCATGGAAGTGATTTGAAGATGAACTTGTTCATTTTTGCTTCTACATGCCGAGGGGATAAATGCCTAGAGACAGTAGAAAAGGAAACAAATTCTATGTGCCTGATCAGGATGGGTGYTCATTAAATGTAATGTATGCCTGAACAGTTTTAAACATTAAAAACAGTTTTTAAATACCCTTTTATAAGACAGGGTATCATAATTGGTTCCACTTGCATTTCTAATTTTAAAGCTTGTTCATAAGTATTTTGAATGCTTTTTAATTGTGTTGGGAATTTTAGCAAGCAAAATTAGGATTTCCCATCATACATTCAGGAACAAAGCTGTATTCCAGGATGTCTTGGCTAATTCTTGTTTTCTTGGTAATTCTTGTTTTCTGATCTGGAACATCTTGGCACTGTATTCTGTATGAGTGTAGTCTTCCTGTCATTACTGAACTTATCATTTTGGAATGGGACAATTTGTTAAAATCTATCCTTAAATTTTAAATATACAAAACTAGGTCTCTTTGCATATGTTTCTAGTGAGGCAACTTAAAATTTTGTATGTCRTAAAAAGGGAAGAGCAGGTTCCAAGGTCTAACTCCCACTATTCCAGGGTATATACGTGTGAGGAAGAATGTAATAGCTCTTCGTGTTTCCATGTGCTCACATGTTCCCATGTGCTTGCTTGTATARATAAATACCATGGGTTAATTTCCTATAAATACAAAAGAAAATATTTTCTAATCCCACTAGCAGTAGGAAACAATTTACTAATATATGAATAAGCAAGCCACACCAAAAGAGAGAAGATGGTCCTAGCAATGCTGAATGTTTTAATAATAGTTATACCAAATGAGAGAACAAGTATTTTTCAATCTGACAAATAATTTTTTTTTCTCAGTTTCTTGATGTATAATAGTGAAGTAGAATTTCGGCACTGATGCAGTCAGGATAGTGGCTGATGGAAATTCCTTATTTAAAAATAAGATGATTCGAAGGAAATTCTCCACTCAAATTCTGTAATGAGCAGAGAAATTATTACAAGAATGATACCAGTTGTGGGAGAGATCTATTGATAGACTTTTCAAAAAGAGATGGCCAAAGATSCAGGTTAAAAGATGCAGAAGAGACAGGGGAGTAAAGGCCTCTTTTTTGTGTGACACCCACGTGGCCTCTATCACTGGCAGTAGCTTGCCATCTTCTGGTCCTCTGACGTGTGGCAGCCAGCAGCTTTGTTTCTGTTCTGCAGTCAGAAATGCAGCCMCTGTCTCTGCACTGAGATGACACTWWGAGCTGGCCMAGAGCATAAATTTACAGCACACCAGCTATTCCACACCAGTTCCCCTTGCAGTGTTTTGGGTGCATGTAGTACCATCCTCTCTTCATGTTGGGTGAAATAGGTCATTCCATGTTCAAAATWTCCATGCAAGAAAATAATGCCAAGAAGCCAGTGAGRGAGAAAATTCATATGCAGAATTACTTAGCAGTGACTTGTCCTTGATAATTTCAGTTTTAGAAGATTAACTAAGCCCCTTTTATAGAAGAACTTTCCTGATGACATAAGCCACTAGTGGAGGCCACAGCTTTGTACAGCCTAGGGATGCCTTCACTTCCAGTGCTTTGGCATATGGGTTTCAGGCTGTAGAAATATTGAGACACTGCCTTCATGTGCCCTTACAGATTTGTCAATTACTGAACATTAATTAATTCACAGAATCACACACAACCACAGAATTAAAAGGGGCCACTGGAGGCCATGTGGTCCAAGCTCTCTGCTCAAGCAGGGTTTCCTGGACCTCATTATTGAGGATTGTGCCCAGACAGCTTTCAAATATTTCCAGTGAGGAATACTCCACACCCTCTCAGGCAATCTGTTCTGGTGCTTGGTCACCCACATAATAAAGCCTTTCCTCATATTCAAGTGGAGGTTTCTGTGCATCAGTTTCTGTCCATTGCCTCTTGTCCCATTGCTTGGCACCACCTCTTGACACCTTCCCTTCAGATACTTATATGCAATGCTTTAGAAAAAAAAAAAGCCTAAAAATGTGAACATGGAAAATTATAAAGTGGTTTAGGAAATTAGTTGTCAACAAGAAGACATTTTTGATACAGTGTTCAATATCTAAATATGGTAAAACTGCTTTTTCAGAAATTTCTGCAATGTAATTTCATAAGTGCTTCTTAGAAAAGTTAATTCCATATCTATGTTTTTAATTTGTAGGTATATTGAAACCTTGAAGGAACACAAGCCAAAAATTGTCTGGGATGAGCAAATTGCTGAGCACTACTTTGAATACAAAAAGTGAGTTACATTTATTAACGTATCATTCTGCAAATATTTTTGGGCATGGCCCAGTAACTGTAGTATGCAACTGAATTCAGCAAATGGAAATTCTGTGGTTTGTGATCTGTATGTCAGCATTGAACTCTAACATAAAAGAGTGCTTTGGATGAGAGGAGAAACTCAGAGGAGGATTCATGAAATTACATAAACTAAAACAATCTTAGATGAGAAGTCTGATGAGTCATATCTTTAGAAGTTATCCATCAAAGTTATCTGTTGAGTGTCAGTTAATCAGAGGCTCTGAGATGAGTACTGTGAGCTGCTGAGTGAGTACCAGTAACTCAGCCAAAAATAGGTCTGAGAAAAATCTGTGGTACAAGAACCTGGTTTCACATGTCCTACTGCTAAGATTGTTTAAACAATAGATTTCCACTAGATGGAATGGACTGTAGAGAAATCTAATAGAAATAAAATCAAGTGACTTCCAGATAAAGTTTTTTAAAAGACTGAGAGCATTAAAGGTAATGATATCCTTTGTTTTCCCTTTTTCRTCATGAAATAACAAGAGGACTCCTGATCTTGGAGGAATCCGTTTAAAATAGATTTAAATAAATAAACCTAGCAATGTCTTATTAATCCTCTGATAAGTTGCTATTTTTATGCAGATATACCAAAATACACTAAAATCATACAAACAAATCCCACTACTCCTCCAAAGCTATGTCTTGTGTATTACTGATTGCATTGTTAATGTGAAGACAGACAAATGAAAGGAAGACTAAAACACACTTCAGAAGTTTTTAATTAAAACAGTCAAAACTATATTTCCAAAACATTTGTGTCTAAAWTATTTTTAAATATTAAAAAAAMCCCAAACAAYAAAACCCAAAACCAAACCTAYAAATTGCCTACCTTTGTATTTTTAGTTTAATTTTTGAGGTTTTTCTCAGCCTGTAATTTTCTTCTGACTTTTATTTCTTATCAGCAGTATTTTAATTTGTTGTCAGTTTATATGAAAGGACTGGRATCTGTATTCTGTTGCAGAATTACCTGGTACCAAACAGTAACAGTCTTTTTTTGTGTTGACTGAAGAGGAAAAAATCAGAGGCTCTGTTTTACTGATCTTTCATGTTCAATTCGAGACACAGTGAGCACTGAATGAAAACTTGCTCTCAAGAAAGTAACTCTGAGGGCCCTGTTTGAATGGCATGCTTCTGGGATTCATGTCTGAATCATTTCTTATATGGCAAAACGAACTTGTGGCGAAGGAATAGCTTGTCAGAAGTTTTTTTTTTTCTTTGAAACCAGCCTTTGGAAGCTCTTGTGTGTGAGCATCCTGGAGGAATTYTTGATGCATGAAGCACACTATGTCTGAAAATCAGTCTAAACTTCACTTGTGCTGTGCTTGGCAGTCAGCTGTGAGGTTCAGCTGGCTGCAGGGAAGGGTTGTTTAAGGAGCTCTTTTTCAGCTTTGGTTTGCAAAGGTTCAGTTATGTTGGATGGGAATGGCAGCCAGGCCTGAAATATGTATGCTTCCCTGGTGAAGCCTCTCACCTGGAAATCTTGCATGTCTGCAGCAGCTGAGAAGTGAAATCATGAATCTTTAAGCAAAGCACAGCTAATGATTTCATGTAGCAGGCAGAGACTGTGTATCACAAATAGCTGCAGAAATCTGAGTGCTWGTCCCAGTGCACAGGCAAGTATTCATTTATATAAGCTGTGATTTTAGGAGCAATTCCTTCTTGATCTGTCCAKGCACTCTACATTTGCTCCTGGCCTAAGCAGTAAAGTGGTGCTGTGGGGCCACTTGTAAGACATCCTTCTCATTACTAGGGGTTTAAAATGCAACCTTGGTATYTGTGCCCAATATAGTTTGCCCTGTCTGTATATTTCATACTGCTAGCATTTAATTTAGCCTGCAAAATAGTAATTCAGGGAATTGGAGAAAATCTTTCASAGTTTGCATCAGAAAACCAAATGTCTTCATCTTTTTCAGATTCACWTTTAGCAGGCACAGCTGTCTGTTTCTGTCTGACAGCTTTGTCATCCAGTTGCAACAAAATATCTCAGTGTTTACTATGAGATGGTATTAAACCATCTCTATTGTGAGATCTCTTCTTGTATCCTCTATTTTCACTGTCAGCCTTTTCAGAGAGAATCTCACAATGGTTAAGGTTGGAAGTAACCTCTAGAGATCATCTTGTTCCACCTCCCTACTCAMGCCATAGAACCTGTTACTCAGGATTAAATCCAGGTGACTTTGGAATATCTCCAGTGAAGGAGACTCCAAAACCCATCTGAACAACCTTTGTCAGKGCCCAGCTAGTGACAGCCTCTAACTAGACCCTGTGCCACTGATTATGATCCTCTGGGATCTACCATTCAGCCAGTTCTCAATCCACCTCACCATCCCCTTCCTGAGCTTGTCTATGAAGATACCACAGGAGAAAGTGTCAAAMGCCCCTTTCATCTTCTTTAAGATGGTCCTCTTTAAAGGCCCATAGTATGTGCTAAGTATCTTGTCTGACTGCCTGTATTGTATTTTGTTGTAACCAGTTCTTGGATGAGGTCTTGCACATAAAGTTTGGGGCTTTCATCTCAATCGTGAAAGGAGGGCGTTTCTGACAGATGTTCCCATAACCAGTACCTGCAGGACAGTGACACAGTTGCACATGTGACTTCCAGATATGTTGTGCACCTTCTCTTGACATTGGATTTATGTGCTGTGATATATTTGTATCTACACAAGGAAAGGGGTGGGAATAGAAGTTCTTATCTGTAGCAGAAGAAAAGTGGAGATGATTTTGGCCATTCTCTGCCCTCAAGAGACAGAGTAACCAGAGTGCATGTATGGAATGAATGGTGGTTAATAGCAAAAGTGTCTGATTTCARTGGAATGAACACTGGGTAAGAAATCTCAGATATAACCTGCCAAATGACAAACTGTCTCTCTTTGATATGTATTWATGTTCATGTGTTGAATGTACTAGCATATCTTAATTTTATGACCAGTAGKTTCTTCAGAATATAATTGACAGTTTTCTTCAGCACTGAGGCCGTTTCCTTTTAGTGAAAAAGAATAAAACTGGTTTTGAATTCTAACCTTAGTTTAAAATACAATTGCTATCTATCAAAACTATTGTGACTATATGGTTTTCTTGTGTTACAGAAATAAAGGAGGAAAACATGCAGTCTTCTACCCAACACTGAAGGTAGGTGCCCTTTTCTCAGGTCAGAGGGCTGYAACAGGACAGAGATGTTTACTTGACCTGTTTCATTATTGAGACGTTTCAGAGAATGTTGCACTGAGTTTAGGCTTTTGTGAAAGAAGTTAACTCTCAYGTAAATGTTATGTAAATTGTTATGATTCAAAGCTCCACCTGCCTGTGCAAGAAGTTTGGTTTTTCCCCTCATGCATGCTGGAGTTTTTGGATCTCTGAAGATAAAGCATATCTAGAGATAAGACACACCAGGACACACCGGTCCCGTGAAAGGATCTGTTTGAGTGCACAGCTCATGTTTTACCCAGACACATTGTTAGCAGATTCCCAGACAAGGTACCAAGGAAATTTTCCTTCTCAGCATGGTGGCTGGAAGCTTGGAGAACTTTTGCTTTCCTTTGTAACAGGGTCCTGATTCTCCCTGTCAGCCTGCATCATCCTGTTTTCTTCAGTTCTGTTTCCGTGGAACATACTGTAGTGTTTTAAAAACTTCCATGCTATAGTCTGCAGTATAGTGTAATGCAGGATTAAATGGTTAATTACAACCTTAGTTCCTAGGAAGCTATCTTTAGATTTTCTCAAATTTAAGTCAGCATGTTAAACCTCCTCTGGTTTTTACAGTTGGAAGGGAATTTTCTGTAGTGAAAAACTGCATCATATTTACAGAGAACATTTTTTTATGGTTAAACTAGTGTGAAATGATCTTAAGCACCATGAGTAAAAGAATATTTCCCCTCATTAATCTAATATTCGTGGAAGTACTATCACATATGGAATATCAACTACCATGCCTAAAATATGGTTTTGCAATATGACTGATAGCATTAGAAAGTTTCATTGTGAACTTGTGCTGTTGTTTTCTTCAGCCTCATGTAAGGATTTCACCCTGCCATTGACAGTACTAACCAGGTTAAGAACACTCATTCCTGTATATTTCTTTCATTATTTCTTCTCTAACAGATCACCATTTAACTGTGGTGATTGGTGAATGCATGGAAATGGGTTTTCTTTCCATTTTCAACAAGSTTGTAATGAAATATTTAGAGATTTTTATGCTGGTCAAGATGGCTGGGAAACACTATGTTATTACCTCATGAAAAATTTGTTTCTTTCTCTTTATAACATAATAATCACTGACAGGTTGCTCAAAATTAATTTGTTCGTGATCAGTTAAAAGCAGTCATGAATGCCAGGCCCTGTGGATCTGTTAATGAAGCTGTTTATTCTGTTTCCCATGGAAATGAGTTTTAAACACTTCCCTAGCGTGAGTGGTTTAAACATTGCAGTGCTGCAGTTCAAAGTAAGAATACCTAAGAGCAGAAGATGGAAAAAATAATTACTTTTGTTGTTTGAACTGAAAGTAAGGTTCAGAACATGAATTTTGGCATTCCTTCCCTTGTAAACCAATGGCTAAACKAACTCTTCTAAATCAATGGCTGGAGCTCAAATACAGATACTTTTAATTATTATCTCCAAGATTCTCTTTAAAATAGAATTTTTGTAATGTAAATTGTGACTCTGTCCTGGGAAAAGGCAAGRGTAGGCAAGAGATCTTGATGGTATTTGACAAATCATTCTGATTGTCTTCAGTGATAAAGTTTTATTTTWCCCCTGAGATATTTCTGGGAAGAGTTAGAATTTCTGCACATTGTGAAATGATACCTAAATTAGAATAGTCCTTTGCGTAGTTCATAAATCTGATTTATTTCTGTGGCATTTTGTCAATTTAGATGGTAATCTTTTATTAGGTCATTGAATTAACTGGTACGATTAACTGTCTTTGACTGAATGATTGCTTGCTAACCAGAGAGTATTTGAAATACAGACGAGAATTTTCAGTAGCTGGTTCAAGGATAGATTTTTTTTTAAAGGTCTGATAAGGGCAAATGACATGAAGAAATGGCAGGAKGGAGTGTCTGATATCTCTGACTGAAACGTGATTGCTTTATGTGTTTTAGTCCATCCAGTTGCGCTTGGAGCTTGCAAAAGAATTGGGCACTGGAATATCCATCTGGGAACTGGGACAAGGCCTGGACTATTTTTATGACCTGTTTTAAAATAAGAGATGATCTGAGAAAGACTTTATTTGCTTCACTGAGGCTCCACCTTCAATTAATCTGGGTATCCTGGAGAGGTGATTTTTAAAACATTTTTTGTAATTTATATCGTATCTGTATTAAACTTTCATTTTTTTCCCAATAAAGAATCATYTTTGATTTGCCACACAGATGTGATTGTTGGTGTCTGATAAAATACAGAGTAAAAAAACTACAGAAATTTCTCTTAAAGCACCTGAATTCTGAGTMATTGAAAACATACCAACATACCTGGATGGAGTCAGAATTGAAAATATTTTCTGAAATGTTTCTGCAAGGAATAAAATGGGCAAGTTGATGATCAGATGGAGACCTCTAAAAGAGCTGCTGGTAATAACCAAAGTAAGAGAACAAATAAATCCAGCATATCACATCCAGCAAACTTAAMATCTGCTGGACTCTCTGCATCTTGCTGTCTTCTGGTAAGGTAAGTGAACATAAAATGTCAGGAGTGGGGAGCAATYAGACTTTCCCTCAAGCTGGTAGAAAATCAAGCACCGACAAGCTAAGCTGTTGGCTCTGTTTCTTTTGTCATATTAGTAAATGCCTTTAGTAGTTCGAAGTAATTTCAATTTATGACCTGTTTCTCCATCAGTTCTGTTGCAAGAGCTGCTCTGTGATTTGTCTGTTCTGCTTAGCCTTAATGCCTCAGTTTACAGTATTTAGCATGTGAACATAAGGCATTACTGGCCGGTTTGTGGGAACTGACATTCAGCAGCAAAGGTTCTAATGGTAATTGTGGGTTCCATGGACATGATGAATTCCATGTCCCCAGCAGACAGAGCCCCAGCAGCTCTGACAAGCCCTTGACTTAAGCAGGTGCTGTGAATGTGAGCAGCATCTTTGTGCATGATCTGTCATTCTTTAGCTGCACACATGGGTGCTTTTGTCTCTGTAACGGGGATTTTTTATGAACCCAACAGCTATAAAAACCCATGGGTTTTAAAAGAAAGCTAAAAAATTGTGTCCCTGCTTTTTGGTCTATAGTGTTTGTGTTTGTGGAAATCCACAGGCTTCAAGGCAATTTCTTCTAAAGAACTRAGAGGTGCTGGGAATTTGATGAGGGTGTCATTGGTCACCAGCAGAGACTCAGACAAAGAGCTCTGTACTMCCACTGGTGTTCTTCTTGCCACTGACAGTTGTCGCAAAGATAACTGCACTCCTCTGTTCACATCCACCCWTCCCAGTAATTAATCTCAGCGGGGAATTTATCTGCCCCTGCTGTTTTCAGCAGAATAAATCCCACTGTAATCCACCATTGATTAAAGAACTATTGATCTTCACCTTTCTGATTTAGTTCTGGCATCTCTTGACTTCTCACATTGCGAGTATCCAGCAGGGMTTGCTAATCAGGTTTCTTTCTTCCATACCATTAGTAGTAAGATAATTTGCTACATGAATCCTTGTGTTCAATTAACTTGAACTTTCTAGTTCATTCAAAAGCAATTTAAAGCCATTCTGGCAATGGTCTCTAGAATAGCACAAGAATTAAATTCTATTACACTGTTTTTTCTGCTTTCACTACTGAACTAGATTGTCTCAGAAAAATATACTCAGAAGTGGAAGGGGTTATGTTCTGAAATGGCATCCATTTTTATAGATAGTAAGTAGCTTTCCCAACTGGATGTGGGGAAGAAAATAGTATTTAATTTTAGCTTGTTTCCTCTCAAAAAAAAAGGATGTATGTAATTTATCACAATTTGCTTTTTTTTTCTATGATGATTTTTATGAAGTTCATGATTCCTGTTTGTCTCTGACTACAGCGATGTTAGAAGGAAATGTCTTTTCCATCCTTAGAGGTAGAACAAAAACCTTTGTTTCAAAAAGATAAAACTAACCCTTGCTGTATCATGAAAAATAAATAATAGATAAGAAATACCAGATAGGATTTTGAGCCATCCATGGTATATTGGTGCTTGAGGCCAAGAATGTTACCTTTTGTCTCTCAAGGCAAAACGTGTTTGTTGCTTTGAAAATAATGTTCTAAAAGAAAGAAAGTTGTCMTTATTCTTTATTGTGATATTCGCTGTTAGAAAATAAAAAGGAACAAATAAGAAATGAGCGTTGGAAGGCATGTGAGCTCTAGAATAAATGCAGAACAGCTTCTGATGGGTTGGTCTTGCATTTCCCTAATTTCTCCATGTGTAGGTGTGTCAGGTTGTCTTGTATTAAATAACAGAATTGAGAAGTCTGTGAGCCACAATGAAAACAGCTCTCTTCTGAGGTTTGCACCTCAACACATTTATGAAGAGGTGACACAGGARAGAGATGCTGGTATGAAAGGGCATCCTGCAGAGCATCTCTTTATGACAAACTGGGAAAACTGTGTGAGGGGCAGAAGGTGGGAGGGAATGCTGAAGTGGCAYTTCATTATTTATTCCTCAATAAAAAAGCAAGTATTCATAAAATGAGGTACTTGGTAGGGCGAGGCCAAATCTACTGGACATAAAAGATCAAGGGTTTGACTGGACTGGGGAGAAATATTTAGTATTTCTATGAAATAGAAATTATTATTTCATAGAAATAGTAATTATTATAATTACTATTACCTAGTATAGTAAGCAATGAAATGGAAGTGTGTTTATTGGAACACAGTATATTAAGTTTTCCAAGGTACCTTTAAAAAAAATAGTGTGCTCTATAATCTGTCTCTGTTGCAGGAAGTTTCCTTGTATTTGTATAAGATCTCAAGCACTATGAATGTGAAGGTATCTTTGATCTGATGCCAAAGGGAGCTTTTTTCTAACTGACCTTTGCTTTTGTGTTTCTGGATGATTTACTTTTTTGGGTTAGATTTACACAGGATTAAGATAAATAAATATTTCTGCACAGTTTTTATTGCATTCACTGTAAAAGAGAAATTGCAGCTGATTCTGCTCCAGATGCTTTCGATATGACGCTGGGTTTTTTTTTGGTCAATTATCATCACACACATTTTAATAGATATCAAGAGTAGTGGGTTGTATCTGTATGCAATTAAGGATCTTATCAAAACAGAAAAGAAGATTTACCTGGCTGCTTGTAGCACCACATGGATCCATTTTTGTGGGATAACAGCATCCCATCATAATCTCTTGTGGTAAGTGCATCCAGAAGACTTGAGCTGCCATAGAGTCTTTGTAATGAGAAGCAAATGTAACAGAATTATGGAAAATAAATTGTTTAGCTTGTCTCATTGTGAGATGCTACTTCTTCAAGAAAAGTTGCTATAGTATTTCATGTTATATAATTCCCTTTTTTATCATATATAGTATGAAACTGCAGAACCAAGTGTGGCTTCCAGGYAAGAAAGTTGGGAGAGAAAGAGAAGAGATAAGGTGGTAAGGTAGCCCAAAGGATGACAATAGTAAAACAGGTTCTKTAACCACTTCTTAGTTATAAAGAATTATTCAATGAGTTGTAACAATTCAGTGTTTATGGGCTTGAGAAAAAAATAAAAAATGCCTTTTCTGTTTCTACTGTGAGCTACCAGGGGTAATTATTTGTAAGGGTGGGGGAGCTGTTTGTGCATGTTCATCCGTGGAGGCTGCAAAGCAAATGGATGTTCACAGGAACTGTAATTACTGACTCTCCTGAATTTGGGACATGTCTTTTGAAGTTTACTGTTTTGATTAATACTCAGCACAGCTCTGTGACTTCAGTTAAACAAATGGCAGCACAAAGCAGATGGATTCTATCTCTGCAGCTTGAAGAGGTTGTATACAGCTATTTCCTGAAAATAATATTCCTTCAGTGATCGCTTTTATATGTAATAAGTGCAAATTAAGTAAGCCTGAATTGGTGTTTTGTAGTCTGCCAGGCAATCACTTTGATAGTCTGTKTTGGGGAAAAATCTATCATCTCTAGGAGAAACCCAACTTAATATGAAAAAAATAACTGGAATAGAACTTGATTAATGCTACTTATTCAAACAGTTGCAAAAATAAATAACATCAACTTATCTTGTTAGTATATGAAATTAAAAGCAAAATATGTTTTAAAATGTGTTCTGTTGGAACAAGAATATTATAACAAAATGTTATATATTTTGGAAAGAAATGCAGATGAATGGAATCTAAGACAAAACAGTTTGTACATTCCTACTTAATTAAATTTTCTGGATATATTTCAGTGTTTAATTGGTTACAATGTAACTTACAATTATTTTAGTAAAATTACTGTAGAAAAACTTCTGTTTTTCCTAGAAACAAATGAAAAAAATTCATACAAACTCTTAATGAAATAAGCTCTCACTCTGACTTCCAGCACATTAGAACTTACTCACCATGTCAGTGCTGAGAGCAAAGCAGATGGGCACTTCTGAGTTGCCTTCATGTGGCACATAGATTATCATATTTTATTCCATCCATTGTGTGGAGTTCAAATAAGGTAAAATTTAACATTTGTCTAGTGTGGGAAGGCAGAACATAAAATAAACCCTGCCCCTGTGTGTAGGAATTTCCAGCTGGCTGCCCAGGTGGAAGCAATTTACTCACAGGGCATTCATTACCTTGCCCACCTGATTTTTTGAGAGCCCTTGTGGAAAGGTTTAGTGTGGATTAGTAGCACAGGTTCTGTGTGTGGCTGCAGCAAGGATTTGAGTGATTTGCTTTATCTTTCTCAAAGGTTAGTGTGGCTGGAGTAGATTATGGGGTTTCAACAGCTTCCTCCAATATGTAAAGTCTGCACGTTATGGTTACCTCTGCTGCTCATCTTACTGCAAAAGGTAATACTGAATTTTATTTTCTTTTATTTATTGCATACATTTGCAAGTGTTAAAGCAGGTAAAAACCCCCTTACAAACATTGCTAGTTTTCACTAAGGATTATTTTTCTATTCTTCCTTACAATCTCATTTAGGAATGATCTAGGTAAGACTTCCRATAWATTCCAGTCATTTTCCAGTGCCCTCGTGGTGAGCCCTCCACCATGTGCTCTCTTTGCTTCCAAAAATAGCTAATAGGYAGAATTACTGCCCAATGTAGGTAATTATTTAGGATTGTGTGTGGCCATTATCGACCAATCTTTACGGTTTCTTCTCTGATTTTTCAAGCCATGAGTGGCTGAAAAGTTGCTATAGATGATTTGGCTGTTATTACAGGTTTTGCAATCTTTTTGTGTTTTCCTTTGCTCCTCTGGGGGCTGGACAGAAC